CAAAGATGGTATAAACAAGCCGGATAGCATCTAGCCATCCATCCAGAGATTCCCATGTGTCAGCAACCTGTTTGCATATAATTAGCATCTAGGATCTAAACTAAAAGTAGTACATTTGACAGTAGACGAAAGACTAGCTTTCGAGCCGAGAATTATAGCTGCAAACAGGAGAGGTTACTTATTCAGTGAAAAGAACAAACAAAATCAATTTGCAGAAGTTCACATGGTAACCAATGTGTAGCCTAATCCCCCCACCCAGCTAATAAGGTATTTCATCAGCAAAAATTTAACTTGATAATGATAACCTGTTGTTGAGTAGCCTAATCCCCTCGTGGAGCAAAGGTGTTTCATCAGCAAGAATAACAACGTACTTGAAGAAATACAATTCAACAACTGAGTTTTCCCCATAAAAGCAGTGGCAGATTCGGAAAACCATTTCCGGAAGGAAAACGCACGCGGTGGGGGGGAAGGGGTTGCGGTACTATTACCTTAAAATAAAACTAATAATCTATACTACTTATAAAAGAGAATATTGGTGTCAAAACTTGACTTCCTATTTTGCCCCTCTTAATATTTATAATTCCTATGTTTGATAATTCCTCAATTCACTTAATTAATGATCCGTTATCCCTCATCCACTAGCATTAATTCAATGCATAAATCTTTTACTAGGAATTTTAATGCATAAGGTTTTTATTATGAAAGTCAAAGCATAAGTTACTCAATTCAAGATTCTTCCCTCATTTGTTTTCTTCTTTTGCAATTATATTTAAATTTGTGCGTTAGTTGTATAAAATTGAGTGTAAATTTGATGGTTATATTCACATACACATATATAAATTATATAATATGATTGTTTTACGACAAATAAAAAACATACATTGATAAATATATAAATTATATAATATGATTGTTTTACGACAAATAAAAAACATACATTGATAAATAATAATATAACATATAAAATAATAGTTCATAAAGATAAATAATAATATAACATATAAAATAATAGTTCATAAAAAATATTTTAAAATAATTTTAAACAAATTACAAATAGAATCTAAATTTTTTTTAATTTTATATAATTAAACATATTAATATTATATTTACCGGAAGGTGCATGAACCCTTCAGGTCAAACTAATATTGTTGACGACACAAAAGATAAAATATTTATCCTTTTTTTTTAAATTTTTGATAGAATAAAGTGCATCTTTCAATAATGCACGTCCCTTTGTAACTGTAGGGCACTAAAATTTCTCTTTTGTAATGGAGAAATAACATAAGTGAAATAATATAAGTGAAGTAGTGTAGCTATCATTATATTTTTAATTTAAAAATATTAAACATGAGGATTAATGTGCATCGTGAGCATCAGGTTTAGGGTTTTTGTCTGAACTTCCTAGCAAGAACCTAAGTGTCATCCAAAAAAGTATTTAAGATTTATTAAAAGAATAACTACCAAAATATCACATTTATTAATATTAGCTACAAAATTTTGATTTTTTATCAAAATGATAATACTAATTAATTATTTCACAAGTATGCCCACGTGTAAACCACGTGCACTATACTAGTATTGTAAAACTATAGTACCTGATGGGAATGCAACACAATACATTTTATATTTGGCATGTAATGTGAACAATAAGTACAAGTGAGTGTATTCGGGTGCAGATATTTCATGCGCAGAACCAGCAGGGAGGGCTGTTGTTTTGTGGGGTGGGGGTGCCAACTTAAGAAGAAATCATAAGGCAGATTTCAAGTTATTAGTGGTGCAATTGTCCCCCTAAGTCATAATGTAAATTAACCTTTTTTTTTACGGAAAATATGGTTCAAGTGTTTAACTATATAAGGACACCTCACAAGGTGTGCATCGCAGCACTGTCGAAACTGAGATGCTCATGAACATCCAAAATTCATGACAAACGTTTCATAATTCAATCTAGAGATGCTCATGAACAATCTGCCTTAGCCATCAAGCTTATAGGCTACAGGTCCACTGGCAAGCTTTTAGATGTTTAACCAGTGATGTTCTAAACATAAAATCTTTAGACATAGAAGAGAGTTGACACTTTACTTCAAAATGGCAGAAATATTATTACAAACTCTCCACTATTTATGTTGTTTCATACAAAAATAATCAGAAGAAACTGACAGGTTTTGTCAGTAATTTCTTGGACTATGCTCACCACCATAAGCAAAACATGCTCTTGCCAAAGTTGTCAAGAAGATGCAACTAAAAAAATCCTTCAGAATACTGGGTGGCTTCTGAAGCCTCACAGTAAAGGATGCGATTTGATGCTTAAGATTAAAGACTCAAAACTATGTTGCATGGACACTTCTATTAGGAACTGATACTATACCCAACACATCCCATACCCGTATACCCGTATCAGGCAACGACAATCCTTGGACACTCTTCAATATATACATTCATTTATTTAAATGCGCACTCAATTATATAATACATGTTTCAACTCAAAAAACTCATCAAATATTTCTTCGTCGCATATCCTACACATCCACTTTCTGAACTTGTTGGACAAAGGTCAGGTTCATTTTAGCATATACTCAGAACATAACTATGATTTTAGAGATTGTTACTTAGTTCATAACTATAATTTTAGAGATTGTTTGCATATCTACTTAAAAAATAAGCAGTTTTATAATTTATAATATAAGACAAATTTTCAGTTTCGACCTATTTGCAAACTTAATTGCAAAAATCGACCCTTTTTATACTTATTTTTCAAATTCGACCCAGTTTCAGCCATGTGGTCCCGTGAAGTTCGTAAGTTTTTTTTTAAAATTCGACTCAGTTTCAGTCAGGTGGCTGAAAATGGCTGAAACTGGGTTGAATTTGAAAAATAAGTACAAAAGGGATTGATTTGTGCAATAAATGTTCTAAATAGGTTAAAATTGAAAATTTGTCTTATAATATACATAATAAAAGAAACAAAAAGATGTTATAAGAAATTTGATTTAACATATAAATGAAAAAAGAATTATTGGTCTCATGTAAGTAATTAATTTCAACATGTACATGTGTGTGTCATGCACGCGTGCCTCTATGTTGTATAACATAGGGTTTAAATTATTATTTATGCATTTCAGAATCAATAAATGGTACTTATTACGTCAAATCAAATGAGGTGATTTAACTATACTGTTAGATTAAGTCTATTGGGTATTGGGTTAATGGGCTGTGACCCGTTAACCATACCCCTATTTGTATGACTATATATATATCTCTCTAGTATCTGAATAAATCAATTAAGTTAGGGTTTTTGCTCTCTCAATTATCTCTTTCTACATGGTATCAGAGCTTGAAACCCTAGCCGCCTTTCTCCAAGCAAGGGGGGTTTATTGGTTGAGGATTGTTGATTTGGACTCGGACTTTTTATTGGATTTTAATTTAGGGTGTTATTTGTTTTGAACTAGAATTTGGATTTAAATTTAAGGTGTTATTGGTTTAGGACTAGGATTCGGATTTGAATTTAATGTGTTATTAGTTTAGGACTAGGTTTTGAACTGCGAAGGAGATGTGGGACAGCCTGAAGATTATGTACGGGAATGAGAAGAATGCTTCCCGTGTATTTGAGATTTATGAGCGACTGTTTACGCTCAAACAGGGAGATAGGTCAGTTCCGGAGTTCTTTGGTGAGTTAAAGGGACTGATAGACGAACTGGAGATGCATCAGCCTGCAGACGCTGATGCGGCGACGCTGTTGGGATATCGCCGTGACTTGACAGTGTCCAAGTTTCTTTCTGGATTGCACCCTAACTTGCAGTCCCAGGTGAGAGGACAGATATTGGGTGGAGATACAATCCCCTCACTGACTGCTACATTCTCCAGAGTCATGCAGGTCTCTACTGGTGTTTCTTCTGATACTTCTGCACCGTCTCCACCTTCAGTGGATCAGTCTGCCATGTTCTCTAGTAGAGGCAGAGGCCGCGGTCGTGGTCGTGGTCGTGGTCGTGGTCGTGATTCTTTGGGAGGACGTGGCTCTTTTAGTGGGAGACAGGGTGATTCTGATAGGGGTTCACGTCAGTGTGGTCACTGTGGGAGGACCAATCATATCTCTGAGAAGTGCTGGGAGAAGTTTGGTCGCCCTCAATGGGCCCAAGTAGCCGATGCCGAGTCGACTCGCTCACCTATTTCTACTACTATTTCTAGTGATCCAGCTACTATTGTTCTTACTGTTCAGATTTCTCAGGCAGATTATGAGAGGTTACGCCAGCTAGAGCTCTCTCAGAACAATCATTCGGCTACTCATGCATCCTCTTCAGGTATGGATGCTTACATAGCTTCTCCTCATGAACCATGGGTACTAGATTCCGGAGCCTCATCCCATATGACAGGTATAAAGGATCGTTTTGTCTCTTTACATCTTTCTGATAAGTTTCCCTCTATTCGCATCGCTGATGGTACACTTTCTCCAGTTCTTGGTGCTGGAGTAGTTCATGCTACTTCCTCTTTGAAACTCACTGAATTATATGCTCCTAATTCTATGTTAGCTTATTATCCATTAGCAAGTTTACAAAGCACAATAACTGTAAAGTCACCTTCTTTCCTTCTTATTGTGTTTTTCAGGACCTAGCAACTGGGATGACGATTGGTTCGGGGCATGAGAGAGAGGAGGTATGTACTATTTGGACGACAGTGTGTCGGGTGCTGGTCTTGTTGCAGTACAGCCTGATTCTACCTTACTGTGGCACTGGCGTCTGGGTCATCCTTCACTACAGAAACTTAGATCGGTAGTTCCTGTTCAGTCTTCTCTTTCTTCTTTAGGTTGTGAGTCATGTGAACTGGGAAAGCACCATCGTGCTTCTTTTCAGAGTCGTGTCGATAAACGCAGTAGTTTTGCGTTTGAGTTAGTTCATTCTGATGTCTGGGGTCCTTGTCGTGTTCCCTCTGTGAAGGGTTTTCGATATTTCATTGTTTTTGTTGATGATTTCTCTCGCATGACTTGGCTATATTTGTTGAAAGAGAGGTCTGAAGTCTCGCATGTTATTGAACTTTTTTACAATGAAATAAAAACCCAGTTCTCTACTTCTGTTCATATTCTTCGTACTGATAATGCTTTGGAATATATGAAAAATGACGTTTCAAAATTTTGTGCTCTTAATGGTATTATTCATCAAACTTCATGCTCTCACACTTCACAACAAAATGGAGTTGCTGAGAGGAAGCATAGACATATTCTCGATGTTGCTAGAACACTGATGATACATATGAATATTCCAAAGTACTTGTGGTCGGATGCTGTCCTCACTGCCTGTTATTTGATTAATCGCATGCCTTCCTCTGTTCTTGATGGTTTGATACCATTCCACTGTCTTTATCCTGCTAAAAACGTTTTTCTGTGATTCCTCGAGTTTTTGGTTGTACGTGTTTTGTTCAAGATTTGACTGCTGGTTTGGATAAATTGTCTCCTAGGTCCATTAAGTGTGTGTTTGTTGGATACTCACGTACTCAAAAAGGGTATCGGTGCTATCATCCGACCACCAGGAGATATTTTGTTTCTGCTGATGTTACCTTCTTTGAGTCTGTCCCATATTTTTCCTCTGGCTCCACTACCTCTGTCAGTCCACAGGTGCCACTACCTTCTACGGCTCCCACTACTATTCCGGTATCTGCTCCTAAGGCTACTGCACCAAAGCCTCTACTGACATACTCTCGCCGTCCTAAAGTACATACACCTGTCTCTGCTCCTGCTGACTCTTCTTCTCCAGCTGTAGGTCCATCTCATGTCGAGCCTCATATCTCTTCTGACTTAGATGTTCCTATTGCTCTTCGTAAAGGTAAACGGTCTTGCCCAAAATATCCTATCTCTTTTTTTGTCTCTTATGACCGTCTCACCTCATCATTTCGTCAGTTTGCTTTGTCATTGTCCACTAAATCTTTACCCAGGTCACATGAGGAAGCTTTGTTAGTACCTGTCTGGAAACAGGCTATGGATGAGGAGATGAATGCACTGCTTTCTAGAGGGACTTGGGATTTGGTCTCTCTACCTGCTGGAGCGACTGTGGTTGGCTGCAGATGGGTGTATACCTTGAAATATCGTCCTGATGGGTCTGTTGATAGATATAAAGCTCGCCTGGTTGCTAAAGGATATACCCAGACATATGGTATTGACTATTTTGAAACCTTTTCTCCCGTTGCTCGTCTCAACTCCATCAAAATTCTTTTCTCTCTGGCTGTTAATATGGATTGGGCGATGCACCAACTAGATGTGAAGAATGCTTTCCTTTATGGTGATTTGGACGAGGAGGTTTATATGGAGCAACCTCCTGGGTATGTTGCTCAGGGGGAGAATCTTATCTGCAGGCTGAGAAAGGCCATCTATGGGTTAAAGCAGAGTCCTCGAGCTTGGTTTGATAAGTTCAGCAAGGTTATTTCTAATGTTGGTTTTCAACGTTGTCAGTCTGATCACTCTATCTTTCTTCGACGCATAACAACTGGTTTGCTTATTTTAGCCGTATATGTTGATGATATTCTGCTGACTGGGAGTGACTCTGTTGCCTTAGCTGAGACTAAGGAGTATCTAAACCGTCATTTTGTCACTAAGGACATGGGAAAGCCAAAGTATTTTCTTGGGATTGAAGTTGCATATAAAAAACATGGCATGTTGTTGTCCCAAAGAAAGTATGTGCTAGATTTACTAGAAGAAGCAGGTCTCTTCGAATGCAAACCTACAAGCACTCCAATGGAGGCAAATGTTGATTTGTGGCGTGATGATACCTCTCTACTAGCTTTCTCTGATGCTGGCTACGCAGGAGACATGGGAGACCGAAAGTCAACCTCAGGATTTTGTACTTTTGTTGGAGGTAATCTTGTGACTTGGAGAAGTAAGAAACAAGATGTAGTATCACGATCTAGTGCAGAGGCCGAATATAGAGCAATGGCTCACACTGCTTGTGAGATGGTGTGGCTAAGAAAGTTTATGACAGAGCTTGGTTTTGTTCAGTCTGGACCCATGCCAATGCATTGTGACAACCAGTCTGCCATTTATATTGCACAGAATCCTGTGTTTCATGAGAGGACAAAACATATTGAAGTTGACTGCAATTTTGTCAGAGATGCTTGGGAGAAGAAGATAGTATCTCTCACATTCACTCCGTCCTCACAACAACTTGCTGATATTCTTACCAAGGCTACTTCTTCAAAGGTGTTTTCTACTATATGTGACAAGCTGGGCATGGTGGATATTTATGCTCCAGCTTGAGGGGGAGTGTTAGATTAAGTCTATTGGGTATTGGGTTAATGGGCTGTGACCCGTTAACCATACCCCTATTTGTATGACTATATATATATCTCTCTAGTATCTGAATAAATCAATTAAGTTAGGGTTTTTGCTCTCTCAATTATCTCTTTCTACATATACCTAAAGCTTAATTGGGACATAATTTCCATTTACAGAGATAGTTAGAAAATTTGCACACTTCAATAGCATAGACCAAACATCAAATATTTATTTTCTTTTGAATTACATTATAGATCTGCAAAGCCCGTTTATCATGGAATGGACTGGGATGAAATTGAGAGAACCCGAAGTGCTACAGAGTTGGTTTTGATTGACCCAGTAAGCTCTCCATCTTTTTATAGAATCTCTGCTCCAAGAGTCAAGGCTCTCTTTGAGTGAGTGCACCTGGGGCTCTTGAGGTCAAGAACTTAATAACCCTTTACAAAATATCAAAAAAAAAAAAGAGAAATCCAAAGCTGGTAGTTTGAGTCTAACTTGCAAACTAGTGCAATTCATGACTACAGCTCATTTTTTTCCTTAAGACTGGTTGAAACCACAAAGATGTGATGGTTCCTTGTAATACCAGTTGGTTTGCCAAAAGATTATGCTAGAAAAGCTCTAATAATAATATGTGAACATAAATAGACAGCCATCCTTTAAACACCGTACAGATATAAGAGCCAAATAGTTATATGAAAAGTTGTTTGAAAATTAGTTCGAAAATTTGTTATGTATACTCTGAAAAGAGAGCAATGCGCTGATGCAGCATTAGCAGCTGGAGTTTGTGTGTATGTAACACTATGACAATAGCACATACAGAGTATGGTGTCAGCACTTGGTATTCCCATTCTCTGTCCACTTTTCTTTTCAGTACAAAGGTTTGAAACTAGGCCTACTAAAGTTCAGATACAGGCTTCATGAAGCATCTCATAGATTCGCAAGCTCTTGCCCATAAACTATCCTAAATGAATATGACCTATTAGACAATTTGCTTAATCGGATGATGATGATTTATCTCTCTACTGTTTTCTTCCTTTCAAAGAAATGACATGTTTCATGTTTGAAAATTAAACACCCTCGACATTGGTAATGACCAGTACAGCTTGATATGGGCTATTAACAATTACTATATGTGAGATTTGAAATTTGAAGTATCAAATATTGATTATTGATTCAATAGTGCTATACTAGGAGCAATAAAAAAAAATAATGAACAAAAAGTTTCTGATTAATGATTTACTCTCTGTATAGATTTCATATTTGTGCAATTCCTTGGGCCCCCCTCAAACTATCATACAGTCCTTGCAAACAGATTTTGGTGCATCTGCGAACCAATTCCCCTAAATTGACATACCGCTTACAAATATGTGGGATAGAAAGTCCCTTTAAGTGCATTTATGCAATACGCAATGCAATGTGCACAGTTGAGTGAAAGGAGACGCACAATAGTATACATGAGTCAATGACTTTATCGTAACTAAATACATGTCAATAAAAGGTGAAATGAAACCATGATTCCCAATACGAAAAATGGAGCAAAAAAATAAAAAACATAAAAAAAGTATTTAATATTTTGTATGGAAAAAAATATTGAAATGCATAATTAGCCCTATGCTTTCTAGTTTTCTACAATACACTTTGGAAAACTGTATGAGCACCCAAGAAAAGTTGACACCGTAGCAATGACCAAACTTGTTTAACAAAGCAAGCTACCATCCTCGAATCAAAATTTTCTAAGCGGAGAATTGCATACACAAATTCGTACCATGACCCGCTACATATTGCATACCGTTGGCCATGATAGATACTTCAACACAAAACAACAAAAATCACTATCCTATTCCCAAGAAAGACAAACCAAACCTGAAACTGAGATTATGAATGTTTGTATTTTGTTCTCAATTTTATATTAGAGAACAAACTCCAGATCTTGTGGCATTGTAAAAAACCAATGATTTAGGTGGGTTACTACATTGGTGGTTTTAAAACCAAATCATTGTAGAAGAGTAAGGTGGTGAACTGAAAAAATTTATAATTTTGGTGGGTTTGCTTGAGTTAGTGTAACAGAAAAACTAATACAATTTTATAAAGCAACTATCTAAACGCATGACCTGGTTTGATTTAGAGCTTTCACAAAGTTGAATTTTTCCCCAGAGGTCTAATCAGATGGTAAAGAATTAGCAGTCAGGTGGCAAGGGATTGGGGATGGATCGTGGAAAGTCCCACCACGCTCACATTCAGAATAAGACATTGGCTGCCCTTCAAAACGAGAAAAAAGGAAAATGGAAGTAGAAAGAAAGGATGTTAGCCTGAGGCCCATTCAAGTGGTAAAAAACTGGAAATTATCGTGGAAAGTCCTAGGTTCATGTTCAGAATATGGCATTTGTTGAAAATGGATGAAGAAAGGAAAAGAAAGGAAGGAAGAATGATGAACTTTAAGAATGTACAGAAGGGTAATGAAGGATCGTACACGAGTCCGGAAAAAAAAAAACAGATCTAGTGGCAATAAGACTAGACCAATTTGTGCATAAAATGTATTTTCTCAGGATGCCATGTAGCCACTTTGACAAAAGAGGTAATTCAATTATCGATTGAAAGAGCTAAAAATGCCTGGGTAATTCATGACACGTGATATTGTTTCAGATATTTAAATGCATCAAATGCTTCAATCAATAATGAATCAGTTTTGAGAGGAAAGACTTACCAGGTACTCCGGTCCATGAATTGTATCTATACAAAGGCCTGCACCAGGTGGAAGGGTTAGGTCTGCACATGCCGATACAGAGACAATATCTGGAATGTCAACTTTAATTAATTTATCTGCATGTGGAGATCCCTGAAACCTTCCAAAAGGGCTCTCTGATAACTGCTTGTCCCCTTTAGTGACCTGGAAATCATTATCATCGTATATATAAATACGATAGAATTTTATATTGAAAATACACAATTAAATATTAACTTTGATGATTTTAGTCTAACAAGGAAAAAAACGCATGCTGGTTCATCTTCGAGCCATCTCTTACCAATTCCACACCGATGCTAGCTTCCTATATCTAAATTTAATGTGAAGTGTTCTTGAACTCCCAAACACTTCTACATGGGTACATCGTGAAATACAAAGCATGCAACACAAGCAGACCTACAAATATTGCTGCATTATTATTGTTTTCGATCTACTGTTATAGAAACTTCTATCAGTGTGGCCTGTTATGTCACATAGCGTTTATGCAAGTGATACTTAGCCCACATCATCTCTACAAGTTATATTGCCAAGCTTGTTAAGAAGAAAAAATTCATCTCCATTATTATTTGTTCGTATCACATAGTTTTATTGCTAGCTACCTGATCAATGGTCAAACTCCCATATCTGTTGATATCAATGTTTTCTTCACAGCATGTCAATATTGGCATTGTTACTCTAAATCTCTAGAAAAATTTATCACATAATTTGATTGCAAACTGGATGAATAATGGTCAAGACTCATGTTTCTCAATGAGATTCTTAAAAAACACAAGACATATTGATTAATTAATTTATCCTAGGAATTTGCAGCCCTAGAAAAGTATCATGACATTTGTTTCAAATGAGAGGAACTCTTTTGGAAAATCCTTAAACAAAATGGACCAAGGAAGGATATCATTTCATTAAATGCAAAAATACAGATGAAGGAACATATGAATTATGCTTGCTCATCATGAGACAAAAAGCCATGGTATAGTTCTTCCAGAGTACAGTCATCACCCAAAAAATTTGAATGTAATGAACAATCCATTAAAAATCTTCCATACGCCCTAAATTTACCCAACTCAATAGTTACATGAATAGATGGCATTAGTTCTACATGTGCATTTTGTGGAATTAGATAAGTTGTAAGTTCAATATATGAGTATAAAGAAAATAATAATAATGATGGTGAGATAGAAGTATAGCTGGAATACAAACTCATGCTCAGTAAACCTTCTCCTGCCTATACAGATATAAACATGAATGTTTGACCAATCAGTTTAAAGAACCAGGATGGTAATTAGTGCAATTATGAAAAGAGACGAACATGAGTTAGGAATAGTCTGAACTTGGAATCTTTTCCCAGATAATAAAATTCACATGACACAGTATTTCATATTTAAAATATAAAGGTATGTTAAGGAAAATATGGATCAAAGCTAGCAATCTGACCTGCTGAAGTCCTTCGTGGTTCAGAACGAATTGTGACCTCTCCCAATCTGCGTGAGGTGCAATTGGGTTCTTAGTAGGTGGTGCTTTCAAGTATCCTACTTTAAGGTAAGGTAAAGGTAGCTGCAATGAAAAAAGAGATTAAAATTAGCTCCTCTACTACTTAAACTAAAGAGTCAAGACAATTGTCAATATAATTAGTATCTATTGTCTTTTTTGTGTTTCAGAGAGTTTCTTAAAGACAAACATAGTATCCAAGTGATAATGTCAAAGGCAATTCCACAGTAAACTATTAACAGGTTGCAATGAAACTTAGTCGTAACCAATAAAAAAAACTTGAAATACTGTACTCATGATGAAACAGTTACTCAGAACATAATCGGAAACTATTTGAATTCAACATTAAGTACTGTAGTATAAAGATATTCAGTGAATTCAACAAAGTTTCATGCAAAATATAACTACAGAGTTGTCACATATGCATCCAATAAAAGGTTATAGTTGTTCATATCAAAAGCTCCAAAAATGCCTAGGCTCCAAGTTGATATACTGCACTCATGTTTTGTATGACACACAGTGGGAGTGTATTCTGTTTGGCTACAGGTTGCTTCACTCTTTGAGTGGTGATAGCTAGACTACACTTCACAAACTACTCCCAATCTACTACACCCAAGATTGTGGGGTCCTTGGTGACTCATCAACTTTGATGGCAATTAAAGTTCGGAAGGATCCACACATTTGTATATAGTAGTGTAAGAGCAGTTTGAAGAGTGTAGTTTAGTCAGAATTATCCTTGCTCTTTCTTATATGGTGGAATGCGGCTTCTGTAGAAATGAACCATCTTAATACTTATTCTAGACATCCCCCCTTCCTCTAAAATTTTAGATGACATCGACCAGTCTTTAGGTGCATGGCAAGCCCCATCTTGTCCATAGTTTTTAAGAGCAGCATTTTGAGGGTCGATGTGAGGCAGATGACCATCCCCAAAATCCTTGTAAAATATTTTACGTAGCCTTGATCGATAGCCGATACCATTTTCACAGATAGGCCTAGATGATGATTTCACAGACACATTGCATTCTCCAGGAAAACCCCCAAAACAGCAAGATACATTAGAAACTATGGCTGCAGTTTTTACATATGAGAAATGTTGTGCAAAGCAGAAGCTGGACCAAAGCTAGAAGACAGGCTTAGCATTCATGCTATTAGCAGGCAAAAATGCCGGGACTTTTCATGAAATATAAACAAGTTAACAATTAGAAAGTTAAAAAAAGAAAAACTCAGAAATTAATGATTGTAAAAATAAGAAATCAATTAAGAAATTGTTGCAAAATCCTTAAGAATGACAAGGAAGTTTTGATGTGGGACCAATGTTTTAAATATTAAGCAGAGGGTAAAAATAATCCAAAAAGACTTAGTGATGTGGGACCAGTGTATTAAATATTGGCCGATATATCGCTATCAGCCGATATATCAGTTTTGATGCCCTTTCGATACAATTTTAATGAAAAATATCGTTTTCCAATTTTTGCCACTTTTTCCAATATATCGGAAATATCACCCGATGTTTCATTGAGGAAATATTGGCCGGTATTGGCTAATATCCAAATGAAAAGGTTTATTGAGTTTGGGTTTGGTTTTGGTTCCCACCAGACCCGAAAACTTAATAAATTCCCGAACTTAAATACTTTAAATCCCTAGTCAATCTCATATTTCTCCTCCCTCTTCGTTCAGCATTCCAGCTCAAAAACACTAGGCGATCTAAATCTCTCCCGTCCCTCCTCCCGTTCTCTCTCTCAGTTCTCTCTCTCAACTCCACCTCAGACCCTTCTGTCTCTCTCCTTCTCTCCTCTTTCTCTCTCTACCCCTTCTCTCTGTCTTCCTCTCTCAACTGTGTTCATGTCCTCTCTCTCTCTATACCTGTATCTAATGTCTCTAAACATCGTATATCATTATTCATGCTGTAGTTTCTTATGTTTAGAATACATTAATATGTTTTGAATACATATTACAATGTTATGTTACATATGAACATCATCTAAAATGACACTGATATTTTATCACCAATATATCCCCGATTTTCACAATCCGATATGGATTTTGGCCATAAGATATTTCTAATATTTTGATATTTAATACATTGTGTAAGACTCCTTAAGCATGGCTCTAGAGGTATATTACAATAGTGCATCTTAGTACATAAAAACAGACCCCTTGTGCATAAACACGCACATGGGACATCAACATGAAAAGATATAGGAAAATCGTACATTCTTATATATTGATATGTTCTTAACAATGTTTTAAAAAACAATCTGGGAGTCCTACTAGACGGTCACCTAGGCTTAAAAGGTATCCAAGCCGCTCACTTAATTCTTGCGAGAGCCTAGGCGAACATGGACAGGTCAAGTGGATTCTCCAAGTCAAAAAGGGGTTTATTGTCCAGTGGAGCAAAATATGAGGCGAAGAATACATGACGGGCTAAAATGGATAAGATCATAACTTGATCCAAGTTCATCACAGAAAAACAGTGAGGATATGATTTTGACTCTTTGAAAAAGATCTTTCCTCTTTAGATACTAAATAACACCTAAAAGCCTCTTAGGTGCCTGCCTAAGAGCCTGAAAACTACGCGCTATGTACATAGCCCAGATGCGCCTAGTTTAAAGTACTGATGTTGAGAACGATAATTTGGCGGTGTAATATTTACAATAGGACAATGCATACTATGTTCAAAGTCTATAACAAGAAACCATATTAAATTTAAAAATTAGAGATAAACACATCAAGGTTCATACCAAGCGATCATGTAAACCAAAAAATTTAACACTTGAACCACAAATAGCATATTATGGTCAAAGTATTGCAAAAAACTTATATAGAGCGTAGATTATATTTTAAATAGCTAATTTATTGGCATAAGACTCTAATTGCTAGTGTCTGATAGGTGCCAAATACAAAACACGAGGACCTCACAATGTAAGGGAAACACCTCACAAAATTAAAAACTAGGAAAATTTGTCCAAGTTCATCACAAAAAACGGTGAGGATATGATTTTGACTCTTTGAAAAAAAAATTCTTCCTCTTTAGATACTAAAAAAACACCTAAAAATCGCTTAGGTGTCTGTCTAAGAGCCTAAAAACTACAGGCTATGTACAGAGCCCATAGGCACCTAGTCTAAAGTATTGTTGGTGAGAACGATAATATGCGGTGTAATATTTACAATAGGACAAGGCATACGATCTTCAAAGTCTATAACAATAAATCATATTAAATTTAAAAATCCGAGATAAACACATCAAGGTTTATACCAAGCGATCATGTAAACCAAAAAATTTAACACTTGAACCACAAATAGCATATTATGGTCAAAGTATTGCAAAAAACATATATAGAGCATAAATTATATTTTAAATAGCTAATTTATTGGCATGAGACTCTAGTTGCTAGTGCTTAATAGGTACCAAATACAAAACATAAGCCTCAAAAAAATAACAAAGCTCATGTGGCCCAACGCCATGGAATTTTCCCTATGATGTTTAGCCCCCAAAAGACCCAACAAAATGTGGTCCGGCCCCAAAAACTCATGTATTTGATGTATTTGTGCTCCTCTTTCGAAATTAGCCTCTTCTCATGAAAACTCATCCCAAAATATCATAACTGGCCCTTCCTCCTCTTCTCCTCTGCTCCTCTCCCCTAACTCTACCTTTCTCCTCTCTCCCTCTTACTCCTCTTACCCTCCAACCCCGATGTCTTCCTCATCCGGCTCCTCCTCTGTCACCACCGAGCGTACCTTCCAACCCCATCATCTTAGGTGAGTATTGAGAAGGCTTAGAGAAGGAGAGGCAGTCAGCGAGATGGATGGAGAGGAGCATGGAGAAGGAGTAGGAAAAAGAAAGGAGAGGTCGAACTCATCGAACTAGTGAGGTCCATGGTGATGGGAAGGAAAGGAGATGAAGGTTAGGGTTAATACTCATATCTAGTGGGTAATGAAGGAGGATGATGAGGATAATGAGGATATTGGGACATGTGTTGCTTGTCACAATGCTTGTAAGGTGGATGAGTTGGCTTGCGGATTAAAATAAAATTACTTGGGCTAAAAATTTATCATCACCCATAGAGTGTTTGATGAAATGCTAAAAAGAGATGATTTCTTGAAATGTGATAGTAACAGGTCGTGTACAAAGAAAATATTATAGAGATATTATAACTGACAAAACGCAAAAAGTTCTAACTAAAATGTAAGTAATCATTAACTTGTTAAAATTGGGGTTTGTGTGATGTAAGTTTTGTGATTTTAGGTTTCATATCACAGACCCATTTTAAATGTTAACTTTAACAGTTATATGTTAACTATTTCTGTTGTCTGTTAACTATCACAGCTATCTGTTAACTTTTATGTGAACTCGTTGGCTTTTCCTGTTGTTTGTTAACTATAACAGCTATCTGTTAACGTTTACCTGAGCCTGTTAACTTTTCCTGTCGTATGTTAACTATCACGGCTATATGTTAACTCTCACATGAACCTATTAACTATTCCTGTCGTCTGTTAACTATCACAGTTACTCGTTAACTTTCACATGAACCTGTTAATTTTCACGATCACAAGTTAATTTTATAGTTTATTTTGAAATTTGACTAGTTTCTTAATTTGTACAGCAGTGATACTTCTTTAAATTCAAAATATAATCATATTACTCAAGGAAGTACTTTTAATCCAAAGAGGATCCCAAATGATTGTCCATATAGTGAGAATATATTGAGATCAGACGACGTTCTCAACAACACTTTCATCATTCCTCAATGGTGACACACAGCATTAACTAAAAAGGATCAACAATTTGAAAGTATAAATGAATTAAGACTAGTTTTGTAAGACTATTCTATGGCGAAAAGTTTGATTATGGATTTGTAAAGAATAAACCCAAACTGATTAGTGTGAATTGTAGTATGAATTGCTATGTAGAATTATACTTTTGGTAAAGCAATATAGGTTGTCCAGACTTTTACAGCACACTGTGGAAGAATTTTGTTAAGCATTAAGAATGTAAGACTAATCAATATAAAGTACATATTTACTATATGTTGGCTATTTATGTTTCATGTTAACTATCTCAGTTA